ACCAAATCCCAACGCAGCAGTTCCTGCATCCCTGGACACTGCACACAGGCACCCAACACACCTCCGTGTCTGCACAAACACCCCCGTCCGTGTACAAGCACCTGTGCACACTACCCCATGCACATACATGCACACGCCAGCATATCCCAGACTGGATTGGGTTGAAAGTGACCTCAAAGCTCACCCAGTTCTAGCCACGGGCAGGGACCCCTTCCACTGGAGCAGCTTGCTCCAAGCCCCTGTGTCCAACCTGGCCTTGAGCACTGCCAGGGATGGGGCAGCCACAGCTTCTCTGGGCACCCTATGCCAGCGCCTCAGCACCCTCACAGGGAAGAGCTTCTTAATGATAACCTAAATCTTCTCTCTTCCAGTTTAAAGCCATCCCTCCTTGTCCTATCACTACTTGCCCTTGTAAAAGTCCCTTTCCAGGTTTCTTGTTGGCCCCTTTCAGCACGTGGAGCTGCTCTGAGGTCCTCCCGGAGCCTTCTCTCCCCCAGGCTGAACCAGTCCAGCTCCCTCCCGGCGGCGGCGGGGGAAGCAGGGCTGCGAGCCCCATCTCCTGGCCATCGGGAGCAGCTCTGCTCGGAGAGCGCTGCAATGGGACGGGCAGGGCCCCCCCGCCGTGGAGATTTGAGCTGGTGACAGTGGCTTACGCGGCGGGCCAGCCCTGGGACTGTGCTGGAGCGCTGGCAGACTGGGCTTGGTAACGGCCTGCGGCACGGGGATGTATCCTGGCGCTGCTCTCCACTCATCGACCTCAGCGATGTGGCTGGGAAGTGGAGCAGGGTGTGCAGAGGATCCAGGCTGCAGGGCTGCACCATGTCCTGGTGTGGATCCTGCTTGTACCCACTTCGGGTGACAGGGACCAGCATAGGGAGGGCACCCAATGAGCACAGGAGCCTAGTGAGCCTGGGTTTACAGTGAGTGGATGGAGCAAAGCCCAGCAAGGGCTCAGCCTCATGGCCCTGTAACCCCCTCAGCTGGAGATGGTCTGCTTGAAGGCTGGGAGCAGGGAAGTGCCTGAGAGCAGCTCCAGCACCCAGCTGGGCACCCTGGACCTCGATCCCTCGGGGACTATCCCTGCGGCAGGGACAGCTCTCCAGCTGACCACAACCCAGCCATGGCTCTTCCATGCGGGGCAGAGGAGCTCAGCAGTGATGGTGCCTGCCCCCAGCAGCTTGTGGCGGAGGTCCTGCCTCTCCCCCACTGCCCGTGTGTATTGTGGGGCTGCTCTTGCCCTGCCTGGTCCTTGGGGCTGCCCCTCCAAGGTTCTGCGGGGCTGTGGGAGCAGCAGGGCGGGGGGGGTGCAAGGCAAAGGACCTGCGAAGCCAGGCACAACGGTCCAGCTGGGAAACTCAGGGCTGCCTCTGCCGGCAGATGCGGGCAGCTCTTCCTGCCTGCACAGACACGGCGCTGCCGGCACAGAGCCGGGCTAAGCCCCGCGGTTCCCCGCTGATCCATCCCCAGTGGTTTCAAGCCCCGCAAGCCGCTTCCTGGGGGAAAGGGGCCCCGGCGAGCCCTGGGGCAGGATGCTCTCCTGCCTCTCCTCCTCTGCTTCCTTCCTCTCCCCGGCCGGGGCAGCCTCCCCCTGCCTGCCGCGGCTTTTTAACCCTTTCACCCACGCTCCGGCGGTGCCCTAGCCCCACGGCCACGGCTCCCGCCCGCTCCCCTGTGCTTTGTGCGGCGTCCCCAGCATCGCGCTGCTCCCGGCTCCCCTCCGCCGCCATCCTCCCGCAGCGCCCGAGCACCTGCCCAGCACCGCCCGCAGCGAGCCCGGGCTGCCCATGGCCCCGTGCGCCCCAGCTCCCCCTGCGCTGGGCTCTGGGCTCCCCCCCTTTGCATTGGGGAGACCCCGCTGCGGGGCCGCGCTCCCTCCGCCTCGCTGTAGCGGCGGAGAGCGGCAATGGCGGGAGCCGGGGCTGTGCATCGGGTGCTGTGCGCCCGGTGGGGGCCGAGGGGCCCGGGGCCGGGCTGTGCACAAGCGACGGGGGCCTCCAGAGGGAGCCTGCAGCGCCGCGCGGCTCCGCGGTCACCCCGTCGGGCTCCGCAGGTCCCGCCGCGCTCTGCGAGGCCGGACCGGGCCGGGGGCCTCGGCTAACGCGGCCGGGGGGGTGTGTCTCGCAGGCAGCGGCCGGCAGCGGGGTCCCTCACGGTGAGGACACCCCCCAGAGCCGCAGACAAAGCGCTGCGCTATGGCGGCAGGGCCGGCCCGTGCTGCCGCAGTGCCGCACATCCGGGCGGGAGCGCAACCGGGATGCCATTTGCTTGCTCTTGGCCGGAAGGGCCCTTCCTGCTGGTGCTGGCCATGGCGCGGGGAGAGGGGGCACGGCAGAAGGGGAGTGCATCTGAGGGCACCATCGGAGGGCACCCAGCCACCCTCACCCTGCTCCTCCCTGCACCAGTAACTGTGGGTGGTGGGGAGCGGTGGTGGAATCGGCACTGGGCACCACTGAGGCACTGTTGGCAGCGATATGGACATGTCTGGGGTTGACTGAGCCACCCAGGCACCACAGCCCGAGTGGTACAACCCTGCCCACCAGTGCCTGTGGGGCTGTGCTGTGCCAGGAGCAGAGGGCTTCGCCTCTGGGGGAGGATACCCGGGGAGCACCAGGCCCAGGTCGGGAAGTGCCCTCCTGCTGGCCCTGGCTATGGAGACTCAGCCATCCAGCACCAGAAGGGGACACGGGAACAGGGTGAGGGCAGCAGTGATGGTCAGACTGGGGATGCAGCTCCACTGCTCTGGGACACTCCTGAGCCTCTCGGCAGGGCAGCCCTGACTCACTGGGTCTGGGGTGCCAGGCTGTGGGGAGACACCGCACCATGGGGTGCTCCCGCCCTGTGCAGAGCCCTGCCCACCCCCAGGGGAGTTATGAATAAACTATTAGCTTTATTTTGGGAACGTGGCGGAAACGTGCATGGCACGGTGCTCCAGAGAGAAAGGGGGAAAGTTGGCTGCCGGGCCCCGGCCTGGGTGTGCCGGGGTGCGGCTGCTGGAGCTGGAGTACATCCCGGAGAGACGGGCTGCGCCCAAGGTTTTTCCCTGGTTAGGCATAAACAGCGGGACCCCGGCCATACCAGGCACTGGGAATTAAGGCCGCATGGATACTGGGCATTGGTGTGGAGCTTGTGCAGCACTTGGCACAGAGCCGTTGCAACTCCAGTTTGCTGCAGCACATGGGCACTGGGCAAGATGGCCCATGGTGGGTTGGGTACAGGGTTGGAACCCTGGGGGTAGAAAAGTGTAATGGGCAAAATCTCTGACCATGGAGCTTCATGTCACATCACGCCATGTTCTGAGGCTGAGCATGGCAGTATCTGTGTGGTGGCGGCACACAGTGGGGAGACAATGGGGTTGTGGACCTTGGTATAGTCCCTCTGGGGCATGTGCTGGTGGAGAGCAGCTGCCCCATGGCCAGTTGCAGGCAGCGCAGGGCCAAAGGGGGAATCTGGGAGCCCTAGGAGGAGCTGCCAACGAGTGCAGTCAAGGTGCAGGAAAAGCACAGGGATGGCCGCGGGTCGGATCCTGCAGGCCCGCTGCGGTGCCAACCTGCAACCGCTCCAGCACGGTGTTTTCAGCAGGTGCTGCCTCCCGCAGTGTGCTCGGAGGCTGATCGGGGCCCCTGCCCGGCGTGGGGAAGGCGGTGGCGGCACGGTCAGAGACTCCCGCACGGCCCGATCGTAGTGGTGGTGGGGGGGAACAAAGAGCAGCAGCGGGCGGGGGGAGCGGGTCCGCCCGGGCAGCGCAGAGCCTCGCCTCGCCGCGGCACCCAGCTCCCCGCCCGGCACCCCGGGGGGCAGCGGGGCCCTGCCCTGCCCCCTGCGCAGCCCGGGCAGCACCGCCCCGGTGCCACATCCCTGCGCTGCCCTGGCCGCTGCCCCCCGCCCGGCCGCCCCCGCCCCGTGCCTGCCCAGCCGTGCCGGTGCGGCGGCGGCGTGGCGCGGCGCCCGGACCCGCGCGGCTGGCGGTGGAGACCCCGGCCCCCATCTGGAGGTAGCGACGGAGCCGCCGCCGCGGGGCCGCCGGCCGGCCGAGGAGGAGGCGGTGGGCGCCGATGGCGGAGCGGCCCGGCCCGGCGGCGCGGGCGGGCGCGGGGCCGGCGGCGCGCCGCTCGGCGGAGGGAGAGAGGGCGGGAGCGCGGCGCTCGCTGTCCGGGAGCGGCGGAGCCCCGGCGAGGACAAGCCAGGCCGCGGGCACCCAGGCGCCGCTTCCCGGCGGGCGAGGCTCGGCAACAGCACGGCCCGGCACAGCGGGCCCCGCGGTGGGCGACGGCCCGGCCCGCGGGTGGGCGGTGGGGGGAGCGCGGCCGGGGCGCCGGGCCCAGCGGACAATGGCAGGGGGTACCCCGAGCCTGGCGGGGGAGGGCGGCGGCCCGCGACCCCCGCCCCGATGGCTGCCCGCTGCGACCGGGACCGAGGCAGAGCCGGCGGTCCGTGCCGCTGGGCAGCAGCCGCCGGGTGCCCCACCGGGGCGCAGGGCCTGGCGACTCCATTTTGTGGGCGCTCGCAGGCCTGTGGACTGCTTACCGGCCCCGCGGCCTACCGGGAGGGGAAACGGAGTGGGGGGAGGGCAGCAGCGGCGGGGGCACCGGGGCCAGCAGGTGAGGCACTGTCCGGCCGCCCCGTCCCGGAGGCCCGGTACCCCCACCGCTGCTTGAGATGGGGGTAGCGGGCCCGAGGGTGCGGGGCCGGGTGTGCCGCCATGTGCGCGAGGCCGAACCGGTGTGTCCGGTGCGCAGGAGGGAGCGGGCCCGGCGGGGCACACCGGGGGGGGGCAGCACTGAGTGTGTGTACCCCGGGGTGGTGGCGCCTACGGGAGGGGGAGTAAGGGGGGACGCCCGTGGATGGGGGGGCGGTGGGGGAGTAAGGGGATGGGGGGGGAGCTCACGCGGGCGCGCGCTGATTGGCCGCCGCCGAACCCCAAGAGCGGGTGCGGGGGGGCGCGCGCAAGCGCGGGTCGCGCGCGCCGGCGGGATGGCGGCGCCGGGCGCGCGCATGCGGGGGCGGGAGGAGGAGGGAGGCGGAGGAGCGGCGCTGGCGGGGCCTGGCCCGGCCGGGTCGGCGCGTCTGCTTCTCGGCCCGCACCGCGGGCAGGCGGCGAGCCGGCCGCGGCGGCCGCAGGTGAGCGGCAGCTGCCCGGGCAAGGCGGCCGGCCCCGAAGCCAGCCGGAGTCGTGTCGTGTCTGTGCCGGGCGGCGGGCCGAGGCCTGTGGCCTAGCGCTGAGGCGACGGCGTCGGCCCGCGCGGGGCCGGCGGAGCGCAGAGGGCCCCCGGGCGCGGCTGCCATTTTGCGGCAGTGCTGACCCCATTGTGCTGTGCCCGCAGGTGGATGCCCGCGGCCCGGCATGGAGCAGGCCTGCGAAGTGAGCCGCCGCAGCTGCCTCGTCCCCTTCGGCACCTCGCTGGCGGCAGCCGAGGCCAAGGGCGGCCCCGAGCCGCCCGCCATGCAGCTGGCGGCCGCCAAGCCCGTGTACGGCCAGGATCCCTCGTCCTGCTACATCCCTCTGCGCCGGCTGCAGGACCTGGCCTCCATGATCAACGCCGAGTACCTCGGCGGCGCTGCCGACGGTGCTGAGGCCCTGCCCGACCCCGACTCGCCTCCACCCCGCCTCCCCGCTGCGCAGGACCCGGCGGCCGGCGTCGACGGACCCGGACCGGCGGCCGAGGCACCCCGCGGCGCCTTGGCCTTCCCTCTGCTCCTGCGGGACGACGGCGGAGAGGAGGCAGAGGAGGAGGGCACTGAGACGCCGGAGGAGGAGGACGAAGACGACGACGACGAGGACTACGAGGAAGAAGACGAGGTGGACGCAGAGGAGGAGGAGGAGGAGGTGGCCGAGTCCGTCTCCCGGAGCCGAGGCCGCTCCGGGCCGAAGCAGGGCCCCGGAAGCCCTCCGCCGCCACTCTTGCAGCCGGTCGAGCCGGTGCCGATTACGGTACCGGACGGCGACCCAGGGGAGAAGCCAGAGCCTTCTGCCGCGGCCCTGCAGCTCGTAAGTACCGACGGGGGGAGGGCGGCGCCGGGCGGGGGGCCGTGGCCGCTGCCATTTTGCGGCGGAGGCCGGCGAGGCGCGGTGCGGCAGGGCCGGGCCGGGCCGGGCGCCCTCGCAGCCGGCACCCTCGAGCGCGGGCAGCCATCTTGCCGAGGGGACCCTGCCGAGGCGTCGTGGCCGCGGCCTGCGGCTCCAGCCCTTCGGGGCCAGCGGGGCCAGCTGCCAGCGCGGGCTGTCAGCGGGCCCTGCCGCGCACCTTCCGCGGCCTCTTTTCCCTTCGTAAGAGCCATCATCACCGCGCCGCACAGCAGCAGATCGCCGCGAAGTTCCGTGGAGTTTTTCCCCCATTACAAGGTTTCTTTGCGCGCACTGCAGATGCGGAGGGCAGGAGGTGCGCTTTCCCTCTCCTGCCCGCTCCGCTGTGCCGCTGTCAGACGGCTCTTTGTTTGGCCTGGCTGGAGGTACCCAAGCTGTGAGAGTTTGGCGGTGGCCAGGGAGGGGCCGTGTCACGGCCTGACAGACCACGGCCAGGAAACCTGGCCTGTTAATTCGGCTTTGTTTTTCGTTCTGAGCTCACAAATTCCTTTAGGTTGTTTTCTAATATGCTTAATAAGAAGCAAAACTGGTTGAACTTTCAGAGTTCTGAGTTAGCTGCATTCAACTTTGTTGTAAAATGCGTTTTTGAACGGAAGTATTATTTCTGGGTCGTTCTCAGAGTGCTTATTTGCATATATGTATGTATATTTCTTGAAGCTCTTAAGTGGTTTTGGGTGTGTTTTTGTTATTAGTTGTGTATATATTTCTTAGATATGTTTTGGCATATTTAAGGTTCCTTACTGGAGGATGCTCTGGGTGTTAAGCACTACTTGATGCAGGGTGTGAAAATCAACACATGTGACAGCACTGACACCAAAACCATCTTGCTCTCTTTAATTTCAGTAGAGCTGCTGATGCCGGACAGATGCTCCTGGTGCCTGCAGCACTTGTGGAGAAATATTTGCTTTCACCTGGCTGCAGTTGGGAACATGCAGTGTTCCTGCTGTGTGCTCTGGAGGAGGGGGAACACTTGTCACAGGGAAGGGGCGATTTCAGGAAGGTGCTGACAGCGGCTTAATTTGTCAGGTTCAGCTCTGGCTTGTGGATCCTTTTGAATGTTCCTTGGGAAGAATGATTCTCCTTGTGGATACTCAGTTTTGAGTGTCTGGGGGTAAGAGGCTGCTGTTGGGCCAAGGTTTGTGCACACACTTGGCTTTGTTTTGCGGAGCAAAGCGGGGATCTTTCAACAGACATGTGCTCAGTGATGCGGTTGTGGGAGGGTCTCACTTTGTAAACAGAAGCGAGCAGAGGTACTTTCACAACACTTGCCTCTGCTATCAGTGGCTTTACAACGTGCTTCACGGAACTGCAGCTTGTACGGTGACAGAACTGGCTTAGTGATTGAACCTATTACTTGAATATGCATCGAGGGGTTGACTTTCCCGTAAAACCTCCTTCCTGTTTGCTGTAGTATGTTAGTGTTGCTGAATTATGCTGGTGACTTAAAAGCATAGCTACATTCACAAGAAAATACAAAGAACAGCGTTTTTTAGGCAGCCTGGGGTCCTTCTCAAGTGTTGAATTCTTCCTTTAGTAAGTGCTGGTTGTCTGAGTGGTCCTTTGTTTTAGCCCTCTGCTTGTGGGATGGGAAGAGAGGGGGATTTTTCTCTCTGCCAAGTTACCAATGTGACAGTTAAATCTTTTTAATTGTTGAACATGACATAGTAACTGGAAATAACCAGCTTCAGTCCTGAGATCATGTATGGATGTCGGCATTTAATTCCAGCCTCGTTTCTGTTTGGGTAACTGGAACCAACTTTGAGAGCCTGCTAAAACTTAAAACAAAAAAGCATCCTGAAACAAGAACCACAAGCCCTTGGGAGTTCTGTACTGATGTATTTAGGGTGCTTTGTCACAGCTGGACTACTGTTTCAGGTAATAACCTTTACCCAGCCTGATGATGGGGCTCCTCCACCTTACAGAGACTTTCTCAGGGTATTTATTCTTGAGGCTTAGCTGCTGCTCAAACTTCCTGCAGGTATCTCAGACCTCTGTGTCTGCCCCTTGCAGGCTTTGAATTTTTCACTAGGTCATTGTGAACTTGCTTTGAAAATGCTGATTTCCAAAACGTCAAGAGTGCTTCCAGCTGAAGGGCCATCTTTTGGGTTTAGTCTTTAGTGAGATGCAAAGTTCAGCATTTAAGTACTGCCTCTGGGTGGAACGTATTGTTTTGCTTGGGGATTTGTCAATAGCCCTGGCATCCTGTACTCAAGTGTTGCCTCAAACGGGGAAGAGGTTGCTCAGACAGCATTCAGTTGTAAAGAAGGATGTGCATATTCTGAAGTGAAGTTATATTAAGTGTCAAGTTAATCTTCAAGTTGACTGAAGCTCCCCATGCTCCCAGCAGCCACTGGCAGATTTTGTGTTGGAGAGAAGAAACTTAGAGCAGTGGTTCTTGGGTCTTGTTTCTGCTCCAGAAGCGATGGTGCAGTGACTGCTGGCAGCTGCTGGCTTACTTCCTTGTGCATGTGTTTTGGGTTATTGCCACTTAAATTGAAACAGGAGGCTGTTTTTTTAATCTCTCTGTTCTTTACCATCTTGACATGAGCTTCTCTTTAGTGCTTTCCCGGCCTTTATGGGTTGAAGTAGTCCTGGGCAGCATTATGTGGAATTAAGAGGGAGAATTGGGCCCAGTCTCCAGCACTGGGGAGGATGAGTACAGCCACAGGCTCTGAGTGACATGGGTCTTGCTTGAACTCAGTTGCTGTGGAGGGGGAGGTGGATGTGTCTCTGACAGAACCCGCATGATGAAATTCTGCTTTTCTGTGTAAGTTTTGGTGCTTTATTATTTGGCTTTTGCTTTGTCAGTTTGTTGGCTTTTAATTGCTACCCACAAAGCATGTTAGAGTCATTTGGTTTGCAAAGTTGAGCACTTGGAATCAGAGTTGCTGGATTCAAGTACATCTGTGCCACTCTTGGTGCATGCGTGTCCTGCAGTGTATGATCCTGGTTAAACATTCTAAGCTGTTTTTTCCACGGGATGCTGATGGATTCAGGCTGCAGGATGGGCAGAGCTCGCGTGTGGCACTCGCTTAATGTTGCTTTCATTCTTCTCATACTATTTCCTTGTCCAGCTCCACGCTGTAGGAGTGTGATATTCAAGTAATGGCAGTGATGAAATGAGGTACAGGGAAATCCAGAACCACATCTTTCATCACTAAGGATGGCTGCTTCCAGTGGCTGGATGTAAGGAATGAGTAAGGCATATGTGTAGGGCTACTGGAAGGTTTTTACTTTACCAGAGCCACACCGTATGCAATGTGTTAAAAGCATTGAAGGCCAGCAGAGTCCTCTCTTGAAGCGTACAATTAAGCCATGACGAACTCGAGTTCTGTTGCAGTCTGCAGCTGTGGGGAGAGTACTCTCTTTATAAAGAGTATGTGTCCCTGTGTGAGAGTTACTCAGGTTCTTTGTTTATCTAAAGATGTGTAGTGCCATTTCTCTCTTTGCTAAAAATAAAATGAAGGAACCAAGGCCACGTGATGTGTATTACTCCTGCAAGCGGTTCTGAAAGAGTCTCCTACTACAGACTGATTTGAGGTGTAACTAATTACTGGCAATATTATATCCCTGAGACACAATAGGCTTGGCAGCGGTTTGTTTGAGCACAGAACATAAATTTCCTTGGTCAGTTGACATCTTCCTGGTGAAGAGATCAGTTCCATTTGGCTGTCTGCGCTTCCTGTGGCCATGGCCTCCCCATGTGCACCTGGTGAGAACAGGCTCTAGGTGCACTGCTGTCCCTGTGTGTCCCATCTTGCACATGCTCCTCTTTGCTGCTAAGATACATGCTGTGAGCACAGAGCTGGATCTCCCCTGGCTGTGGCTGCTGGCATCCACTGGGCCCCTCTACTGAAGCGCGTTCATGTCTCATACAGCTCTAAACTGACTCAAAAAGGACTTTAGCTGTGGTGGACATCCAGAAGAATGGATATTTCCATGGTTAGGGCACTGTCTGAGCTGTTACTGCTCGACTGTAAATGTTTGAGGTCCTTAATGAGTTTGTGGTGCTTTCATGCTTTGATGACACTGCACTGCTTCTTCCTTGCAGCGGTGGTGGTGTGAGCAGTGGGCGTTAAGATGCTGTCACAGCAGGACAGTGTTCCCTAGGTGCAAGGAGGAGCAGCTCCCTTTGAGTGACAACAGGTTTTTTTAGCACAGATTAGGATCTGGAGCTCTCCTGCACAGCAGATTGGATCCTGGAAGTATTTATTCTAGCATTTGGCTATAATTATTCTTCTTTCCTTCTTTCACTTCTGTTTGTTCTCTAACCTTGTATTTCTGATTAGGTGCAAAATGCCTGTTCCTGTAGGTGATGTTACAGAAAATAACATGGTTTCTGTAGAAAATGTGGATGTTCTGGCTATGTGTCATGTGCTGTGAAATGTGAATGATCGATGAGACAGTTCATATGGGGCTGTGCAGCTCTCCAAAGCTCAACATTGTCTGTGTGCAAATAGCAAAACCAGAGGTGTTTCCTTGCCGATTGGACAGCCCTGAAGGTGAGGTTTTGCTGAATGTAATGGCAGAAACCTCTATGTTTTTCTGCTTTCTATATTTAAAACTTAGTTTTAAAGCTGGAGTAAGAAAGGCTCTGTTTAAGCAACGTCTTGGTTAACATACTGTCCGCAGTCATAAATACTTCAAGTCTCCAGTGAAGATTGTTGCCAGAGGAGTGTAGGCTTCGCTCAGCTGCTCAGCAGCGACGTTGTGCTCTATAGTGTGGTGTGCTTAGTACATTGCCTGCTACTCTTGCAAGAAGAAAACAGCCATCAGTAGCAAGAAAATCAGCTTTTATAGGTGCTTTTTTAGGATGCATGCTGCCTCTCGGGGCCTGCTGCCTCTGCTGTCTCTGTATCAACTTGCTGGGGATTTGTTTTCCTCTAACAAATCTTACCTCGTTG